GAAAAATTCATATATTTGGAAATTGAACAACACACTTTGAAATAGTCCTTGAGTTAAGAAGGAATCACAGGGAAATTAAACATATTTGGAAATGAAAACATAGAATATCAAAATTTGCAAAGTACGGCTATCAGTTGTTAGAAACTTACAGTACTAGCGCTTATGTTAGAGAAAGAGAAAGGTCTCAAAGCAATAATTTTAGGTTCCTCCTAAAGAAAATAAGGAAAAAAGAACGAAGTAAACTCCAAAAAATCAGAATGAAGAAATAATAAAAAGCAGAATTAACGAATTGGAACACAGAAAAACAATATAAAAAATCCACAAAACCATAAGCTGGTTCCTTAAAAAATTTCATTAACATTGGTAAATCTTTAGCCAGACTGACCAAGAAAGAAATGAGAGAAGACACAAATCACCGATATCAAAAATAAAAGAGGGGTTATCACTACATATACAAGAAACACCAGATAGACAAGAAGGCAATACTACAAACATTTTTGAGGCAACAAATTAGAAAACTTAGATGATAAAGTCCTTGAGAGCCATACAACACTAAAACTCATTCAAAAAGAAACAGATCACTCAAACAGTTCCATGTCTATTCAAGATACTGAGTTCATAGTTAAAAACCCCCCAATGAAGATAAAACTCCAGGCCCAAATGGCTTCGCTGGTAAGTTCTACCAAAGATTTAAGGAACAAATAATACTATTTCTACACAAACAATTGCATACAATTGAAGAGGAGGGAGTTGTACCCCCCACCTTGTTTTTAAAAGGCAAACATGACCCCTAAATGAAAATCATACAGAAACATTTTTTTAAAAGCCCCGCCCCACCCCCCAGTATCACTCATGATAAGGGACACAAAAAACCTTAAAAAACACATTATACCAAATCTAGCACTGTGTAGTAAGGACAGCATGTCACGCACGGGTAGGTGGACTACCCTCAGGAATGTAAGGCTGATTTCGCATTAGAAAACCAATCAGTGCAATGCACCATGTTAATATAATATAAAGAAGAAAACCCATGTGATCATCACAGTAGATGCACGAGAAGCTTTTAATAAAATTCAACACCTAGTCATGATTTAAAAAAAAAAAAACTATTCACATCGTAAAAATAGAGAAGTTCCTCAACCTGATAAAAGAAGTATAAAAATCTACACTAACATCAAATTTTCATAACTTGCTATACTGAAATAATCTTAGGCTTAGAGAAGGCTTACAAAAATAGTACAAATGGTTCCCATATAAACTTTACACACCTCCCCCTAATGCTAATATCATATATGGCCATACTATAGTTATCACAACTAAGAAATTCACATCGGTACAAAACTGTTAACTACCAACTTTATTTTGATTTCACCATTTTTTCCACTCACATCCCTTTTCTGTTCCAGGAGCCAAGCCAGTCACCATGCCACCTGAGTCTCCAATCATTCCTTGCCTTTCGTGAAATTGATGCTTTTGAAGCTATCTGGTCACTTATTGTGAGGAACATCCCTCTCTGTGGGTTTGTTAGGTTTTCTCATGATTATATTGTGGTTATGCATTTGAGGAAGAATACTACAAAAGTGACATACTCTTCTGAGAGCGTCAGATCCAGGGATGCGGTCAGCATGTCTTATGACTGGGCAGGTGGAGCTCGATTACTGGTTATGACAGTGTCTGCCAGTTTTCTCTACTGTAAAGTTACTCTTTTAATCTTGGTAAATAAAAAATGCTTGGGGAGAGACACTTTGAGACTCTGCAAACACTGTCGTCCTTAAACCTCTGCCCACTCATTTTAACATTTCCTGGTGGATCTACCATGCAGCAATTTTTACTCTTGTTTTCTAATGGTGATTTCATAATTCCTTCATTCCTTATAAATTTATTAATTAGAATTCATCTGTAAGGAAGGCATATGCCTTCTTGACATTTTATTTATTTGTTCAATCATTTATTTTTACAGTATAGATTCGTGAATATGTATTTTATTCCTTGGGTCATAATACATTATCTTTACTTATTTTGTTACTGAAATTGTTGCAGCTTTCACGATCAGGAATTATGTAAGGTTGGCTCCTATGTCCTCGTAAATGCTCATTTCTATCTATCTTCATTTTTTTTTTTTTTTGCTTTCTAGAACCATGAAATTTCTTTTATTTCCCCCATTCCAGCTCTGGGATCAACCACTTCTCCAAGTAACCCTGATTCCTTTTCCTGGAGAATGATATTTAGAAACCAAGATCTCGGTGCTAGCTGTGATCATTAACGCCACATTTAATGGTAAAAGACATTTTCTCCCTAAGATCAGGAACAAAGCCAGATGTCCACTCTCCTCACTTCTATTAAACACTGCAGTGGAGGTCCTCGCCAACATAAGGAGGCGAAAGAAAGAAAAAATACATACAGATTAAAAATGAAGTAAAACTTTTTATTTACAGAAGATCATCTATGCAAAGAATCCTATCTACAGAACAAGACTATTAAAACTAATAAGTGAATTTTGCAAGCTTGCACGATACAAGGTCATACAAAAATAAATTGTATTTCTATGTACTTGCAGTAAACAACGTGAAAATGAAATTTAAAAATACCATTTACATCAGAAGACATGAAATACTTAAGAATAAACCTAAAAAAATATGAGTTAGACCTGAACACTGAAAACTGACGCATTACTGAGACAAATTAAAGAGCTAAATTAATGAAGAGATACACTGCTCACAGATCCAAAGGCTCAACAGAGTTCAAACGTGAATTTTCCCCAAATTCCTTTACAGATTCAACATAATCTCACACAAAAGCCCAGCAGACTTTTGTTGACAAACTGAGTGTAAAACCCACATAGAAATCTATCTAGATAAATTCATTTGGAAAACGTCCTGCCAGACCAATCTTAAAGCTCGAAGGCACATCAGAGATCATAATTTTATGTGTGAGAAAAGTGACTTGTCCATTCCCACGCAGGGAAGCAGCAGCAAACGCAGGGCGAGGACATTCACATTCAACTACTTCATTTTTTTACTTTGCCTAGGGAGAGATCTAGGTTTTCCCTAAAGATACCAGCATCTCTACACATGCCTTCATCTTTAGATTTGCCACAATATATAGAAAAATGGCCAATAATCATATATCTTCTAAAGTGTACTAATAAAACTAGTTAAAAATGCTTGATCTTACAATCAACCTCTAACAGATAAGTTACACATTTTAAGAATATAAAGGCCCTATATAAATCTTTAATTTTACAAATTATTTCATAATCTATACTGTCCAAAGCACCAGATGCTTGACTGAATTCATTAAAATAGCTACTGGTATCAACATTCCCATAATTCCTTATCAGTGATACGCTACAACCCCAAATAGATCCAATCGCGTTTTTATAGCTTTTTAGAAAGAGACTCAAAGTGTGAGGATGCTGCCATCACGATGTAGTTAGTTCTTCAAGTACGTAAGGATGGCTGAGAGCATCGGCGCCTATGACATCTGGGACTCTCGGACGAAACCTGGAGCAGGGTCAGCCTGTGGTCAATTCTATTGTTTATGGAAACAGTGATTTTTGTGGTTATGCCTCTTTATACGAGATACTGAACCTTTTGTCAAATTAAGTGTCACCTATTTTTATCATTTATAACAATTTTAACTCATTTCTCCACAGACATTATCTAAAGCTACGTTTTGTCACTGCCTTCTTCCCTCACTACTTGTAGAATCTTCTGATTCCATCCATCACGAGGCAGCTGCCCAGGTGTCCTACTGTCACCTCTACTCTGGGCCCGCCTGGGCCCGTGGAGCAGAGACAGGTAAGCCTGGCTTCCTTGCTGCTGTGCTAGTTGAGGTCTCAGCTCTCCTCAGATGATCCCAAACTACCATAACTCATAAACACAGGGTTGACAAGGATCCAACACTTACCCATGGTAGAAACTCGAGAGATGTGAGTTTAACTGAAGTCTGAGTAGAAGCATTTAATATGGTGCAACTATTTTAAACACCTAGTTACAAGAAATGCTTAGAGAATCACTACATTCTCCCTTATCATAACATAATACAGGGAGGAAGTACTTGTCTCACTTCATCGTAATTCATGCGCTAGCATTCTATCCTTACTTTAGGGACTTGCAGAGAATATGTGGCACAAAACACACTACATCAGTACTGACTGATACATGTTTCAGAGGAAAATGTGAAAAGCTGAAACGGAAGGATAAATCGAAATTGAAATGGAAGGACAACCCGCACAAAATAACTGGACAAAAATTCTAAGCAAATACTGAATTACATTAAAAAATTTATATTTTCCCATAGGTTTTATATGGGCATTTGAAAATCAAAATTTCAAAACCAGTGTCTGTATTTACAATACCTAAAGTAGTAAAAATAAAACCAAATAAACAAAAATTAAAAAGATAAAACAGACACAAAAATTTCCTCCTCCTGAATTTCAGCAGAAATTGCAGTATTAAAAACAATAATCGGATTACAATAAAAATAAAGTTATATAATTTGCAGCATCCATTTCATAGGTATTAAAGTCTGTTTCAAATAACAGAAAAGTCCAAAATAAGACAAATAAATTTATTACTTTGTTAAGAATTAAAACTAATTTGCTTTAAATTCTTTTTAAAATAAGGATCTTTATAAATAAATCTGAAAAGTTCATTTTAAAATTTAAAGCCATAAAGACAAATTAAAAAATTATGATTCTTTTTTTCCCAGTTAGTTTTCCTAAAGAATAATTTCACATGGGTCTTTATTTTTTCTGAATCAAAGAAAAAATGAGGAGCAAACTAACAAATTATTGTGATTTAAAAAAGGGAAAAATCAACTGTTTGACCATACTGAATAAAATTATCAATAAAACTTTGTGCTAAGTTCAATATTCAATTAAATGATAGAGAAAAAATAGAAAGTATCATTATATCATTAAATTTTATTCACTTAAAAATTTTTCTGCTATAAGTTCATTTTAGCCAAAATATATAGACGCCATGAAGAAAACTTACCTTTTTGTCATATACATCTTGCCAGTTTACTCCAGAGAAGAAACTGTGTCTCATAATTTCTTTTGCATCATCTGGTCCTCCACCAAGGCTATGAGGGCAGGAATAAAATTAAATGAGTATAAAACATTTATATAAGCCCCAATGCATAACAAAAAGTTTTGTGAAATGTAATTTTCTGTGTGATAAATAGTTCTTGTGATAAATAGCCATAAAAATAAAAAGTGTTTGCTGTCAGATCTAATTTCTCTAATATGTCACTAACGAGAACGCGCCTCGGGTCAGCATGGCTCCGGAACAGGGCACAGGCTTGGAGATGAAGCTGAAACGGGCAACCGGCTCTGCAACTTATGAGGCGCATGACAATGGAAAAGCTGTTTAACCTCGGTTTTGTCATCTGTAGAATGGGAACGCTACTACTAGCGGAGGGGATTATTGCAAGGGTTAGAAATAACGTAGGCAAGCACGTAGCACGACAAGTGGCAGCATTTATCAGTGCCAATTCTACAAACCAAATTTATTTTAGAATGAACTCATGTCAAAATACACCCTTTTAAACATAAATTATGAAACGACTAAATTAGTTAGAGAAACAACTTGTAGAGCATTGCTAAGAGATAGAAACTCAAGGACTGTCTTCATATCTCCAATGATTTTCCACAGAAACGAAACTGATGATTTGTGAAATATCTTTACAATGCAATTTGCTAAGCAAGTTTCAATATTAATTAAAAATTAAAAAAAAAAAATTCCTCCTCCAAAATCTTCAAAGGTGCTCTCATTTAACTGATGCCTCACACGAGATGAAATTCGGTGCTTTCTTAGCCTCCCCAGCTCATACAGTGCACACTAGTCGTGACAAAGAAAGAATGAGAGAGA